CTGGAGATAACTGTGTTCTAGTCAGGGTCTCAAGAATACAATAGTGCTCCAGGTAAAATGATAACGAAAATGAGTTTTAACAGGGAAACCTTTCTAGCCCTAGAAAAGTGCAAGTATCAGCTGCACTGGTAAAAGCTCTGCATCAACTCAAGTGCACCTTCCTTTTCTGGGGATGGCAGATGATGCTTTTGGTGTCTTCCAGGCTATACCTGAAGTGCGTTGGATCAGTAACCCCTCTGAGCTGTGCTGTTAACTTGGAACAGTAAATCCCAGGCTGGTTTTGTGAGTAACTTCTTTCTTAGATGGCTTTTCAAACTCTGCCCTCTGAGTTCATGAAGTGTCCCTGTTCTTTAACGCAGCTGCTTTTTATTCCAGCCTCTTGTTTGGAGCATCTGGTAACACTGCATAAGGCTGGAGCAGGAAAAGAGAAATTGATACCTGAGGTCTCACACATTCCCCTGCACACGCTTCTCCCTGCTCAGAAAAGGAGCAAATGGGTTAGCAGGTTAAAAGCAGCAGTGACAAAATAAAAAGCTTCCCAGGAGACTCCAAGGCTCAACAAAGTGGTTGAAGTGCCCAGAGCTGGTGGGCTCTGCTCCTTATTCCCAGAGCAAATGTAGGAATTTTGCTTTTTAGCAGCTGAGACATCTCAGCTTAATGCCCGCAGCGTTCTCCAAAGCTGCAAAGCCTGGCCAGCCTCAGCATCTTCTCCATCAGTTCTTGGTTATTTGCCTGTGCAGAAACCCAGGAATTTTGCTTTTTAGCATCTGACACATCTCAACTTCATGCCCACAGCATTCTCTGAATCTGTGAGCGTGCAAAGCCTGGCCAGCCTCAGCATCTCCGTCAGTTCCTGGTTGTTTGCCTGCTCCTGCTCTGTGCTGGCTTCCAAGGAGTTAAGTAAACTAGCAGAGAGCTGATTTAGTCCAACATCTCGAAGTGAGGCACTCCCAGTGTGTTATGGTTAATTTTGACAATAAATTATGGTTAATTATTATGGTTAATTTTGACAACTGCCATCAGTTATGGCAATGTTTCCTCAGCCTCAGTCCCCAGCAAAGCACTCGTGTGGAGGAGGCTCAATTAGGTTGATAATTTTTTATTTTATTATTATTATTAGGGTGATGGTCCTACTGAAAGGAGCTCCCAGCTCCCTCCTGTCTGTGGAGCATTTAAATTCTGCTGCTTCCATTTAATTTTGTGATTTTTTTTTTTTCTTTTCCCATGGGCATTGAGAGAACATTGCTATAAAAAGATGTGCAGCTGTATCTAGACTTGAGTGTATTATTTATCTATGTGGGAAAAATACACAGAACTAAAGCTGTACTAGGAAACACATTTTAGAATTTTATCATTTCCTGTCCTTCATATTTTATCAGGACCTTCTCTATGTTATCAGTCATCATATTCTTTCAAAACTATATAAAGTGCTACGTTTTTTCCCTGATTTTAGCACTCCTTGGTCTATGGGTAAAGCAACAGAACTGGGGGAACTTCAAAGGGAAAAGAAACAAAGGAGTAAAAAATGCAGAAAATTTACTCTAGCAAAAAAAAGTGACCTACAATGTGTGCACAATTAAGTTTGCATCTCAGCTTCTCACCAATCTAAATAACCTGTGACTGTGAGGTATTTGCTGAGGAATTGACATTAATCCCTGCTTTGCCATTTTTTATCACAAAAGGACCACAACTGCCCAGAATCTGGGGAGCCAGTTCCAGAAAAGTGCAGCATTTGCAGAGTTCCACCTGTGCAGTTTTTCCGTGGGTGCTTTGCCCGTGGGTTTGCACCAAGGAAATTTTTTTGGCAAGGGACAAGAACGGAGCTGATAAAGGCAGGGATGCTCAGGAGCACACCTTGCTGCAGGTGATGATGTTTTCACCCATGGCAGTGTTTTTTGCAAGGGACAAGAACTGAGCTGATAAAGGCAGGGATGCTCAGGAGCACACCTTGCTGCAGGTGATGGTGTGGTCCCCACGAAGAGCCCACCCCAAAAACGCCATCCTGGTTTTATCCTGGTCCCCTGACACACTGGTGGTGCTTTGTGCAGGAACCAAAGTCAAGAGCTGAGCTGATAAAGGCAGGGATGCTCAGGAGCACACCTTGCTGCAGGTGATGGTGTTTTCACCCATGGCAGTGTTTTTTGCAAGGGACAAGAACTGAGCTGATAAAGGCAGGGATGCTCAGAGGTGCCTGATAAGCACACTTTGCTGCAGGTGATGGTGTTTGCACCCATTCCAAGGGACAAGAACTGAGCAGAAAAAGGCAGGGATGCCCAGAAGCAAATTTTGCTGAAGATGATGGTGTTTGCACCTTGGCAATGTTTTTTCCAAGGCACAAGAACTGAGCTGATAAGGGCAGGGATGCTCAGGGATACCAGAACAGATAAGCACACTTTGCTGCAGGTGTGCTCCCCACAAAGAGCCCACCTTAAAAAACCCATCCTGGTTTTTTCCTGGTCCCTTTACACACTGGTGCTTTGAGCAAGAACTGAGCTGATAAAGGCAGGGATGCTCAGAGATGCCTGATAAGCACATTTTGCTGGTGATGCTGTGGTCCCCATGAAGAGCCCACCCCAAAAACCCCATCCTGGTTTTATCCTAGTCCCCTTACACACTGATGCTGTGTGCAGGAGCCAAAGTCACTCCTGCAGGCCTCCAACACGGAATTGTTTGTGTTTTTGGAAAACAGCAGCAGGAGGAATGCAGGGCTCTGTGCAGAGCAGGCATGGCTGACTCTGGGTACCCTCAGAGAGGATTTGAGCTCTGGGGATGCCTGGGCAGGCAGGAGCCGGCAGCTTGGGTTTACTTTGCTGCTGCTGCTGCTGCTGTGTGAAGAGCAGAACCGAACCCTTCATTTCTGCCTCCTGCTCACGGCTCAGATCCCTCCCCTCCCCTCGCTGCTCAGTCAGCGGGGAGATGCGAGCAGGGAAGGAAGGAAGGATGCTGCTGAGCTGCACTCTGCTCCAGCACTTGGCACATCCTTTGCAGAATCTGCTGTTTCCTGAGCAGGGACGCTGCCTGCCTGCCTGCTGAGCAATGCAGCCATTCCCCACTGCTCCCTTTGCAGGAGGATGGAACCATAACCGGGAGAGTGAGTGAGCGATGCGGCTGCTGCTGCTGCTGCTGCTGCACACAGGCTGACTGCGAGGAAGAGAATTGGAGAGCCCGGAATATGTGCCTGCCTCAGCAGGCACTGCAGTGGAAAAGCCCCTGACTGAAGAGATGCAGCTTGCTGCTCTTTAGGCATCGCTACAGAGAACTCGGGAGTCGGATGAAATGCATCGGCCTCCTTCTCCACCGCTCCTCTATTGTCATCAGGCATTAATTGCTGGGAGTTATTTTCCTTCCTGTGGCTGACTGCCTGCAGCTTTTTTCCCCACTGCAGGAGAAGCAGTGAGGGAGGGAGAGCACACCACCAGCCCAGCGTCCTGTCCCACCAGAAGGCTCCTGCCTGCGTGATGTGCCAGCACGGCCCAGGGCTGCTGCAATGGTGCAGAGAACCTCTGGAACACCTGGGTTTGGGATTATTCGTGGCTCATAAAGTGGTCCCAGCTTCCATCTAGCAACTACCTGGAGACGCTGGCTGTCCTTTGGGGCTTACTGACTGCTTCCAATTTTCCTCCCATCGCTGCTTTCACACTCATCTGGGTCGGCAGCGTTAGAGAGAGGGGAACGCATTCCCCCGGCCAGGAATCGCAGGGTGCTGCACAAAAAGTGCAGGTGCGAGCTCTGGAGGGGACTGCAGCGTGACCAGCCATGGCTCAAGCCGCTAAGCAGCTGAAGAAAATCAAAGACATCGAGGCTCAGGCTCTGCAGGAGCAGAAGGAGAAGGAGGAATCCAACCGCAAGCGCAGGAACCGCTCTCGGGACAGGAAGAAAAAGGTCAGTGCTGCTGGGCTTTGCAGCCCTGCAAGGAGCCTGTGCTGTGTCTGGGGGCACGGCAGGGTGGGCACAGCGTGGCACAGGGGCACGAAGGTCCCTGCACAGGGCTGTGTGCAGGCAGCATGTCGGATATGGCAGAGGAACAGTCTGGCAAACACAGGACAACTTTTGGGAGCAGAAATCTGCTGTTTACCCTGACAGCTTGCGGGGAGCTGGGGGAGAGAGGGAGGGAGCAGAGATATAAAAATCCTCATGAGGGGTAAGGGAACTGAGGGCTTTATCCAGGCAGCCTACTAGACCCAGTAACAGATTTGATCTCTAAGATAAAAATCCCGTTTTCTGGCTTCCTTCAGTTTCCCACAATTGCTTTGTATGTTCAGGGCTTAGGAACACGAGACCCCCACCCCTTTTCTGTGAAGGACTCATTTTGCTGCCCACCCCATCCCTTGCTTGACCTGCACCAGGATATTGAGAGGGGGTAGGATATTCTTGCCATGCAGAATATTGAAACCAGGGCACAGCAGGAGCAGACTCCTGACAGAGAAGGCATTTTAGTGCCGAGCTCTGTGGGTTCTGCTGCTGTATCTGTGCATGGGACAGGGGTCATCCAGCAGGTGAGGGGAATCAGGGACAGCACAGAGGTGTCTGTCCCTCCTGCTGATACCAGCATGCTGTTTGTAGCTCTAGATCCTCCCTGAAAAGTCACTTTTGGCAGTTTTTTCCTTGCTGCACGAGTGGGCATGTTGCTGAGGTAGCTTTGCTGCCCCTTGAAGACCTCTGGAACCTGAATGTTCTTATCTCAGCATGCTCTGAGGGTTTCTGTGCCATGCACCAGTGCAGAAAGGCAGCGAGGAGAGAGGTGAAGCCAAGGATAGTCGAGGATTTCTCTGACAGGAGGTTGTGACACAGGGATTCTCAGGTGGGCTCCTCCTCTGCCTTTGAGTGCTGGAGATTTCCATGTGCCCCTGTGAGCAGGAGCCTCACAGCAGAGCTCTGCTGGTGGAACATCCTCATAGCTGGGCCCTGAGGGTGCTGAGCAGAGCCCTGATTGTCCTAAAGCTGGGCCAGGGCAGCCTGGACAGGTCTGTGACCACAGAGAGTGAGTCCTTAGTGGGCACATCAGGGCAGATGTGAGGCCTGCAGGCAGCAGCTGGGGGGTTGAGTGTGGGGTCTGCAGTGTCAGATCCTCCTTCTCCACTGATAACAACTGCTGAGAGCTTGCAGGCTGCTCCCTGCAGGGCCTCTTGCACTGGGAGCTGATGGAGCAGCTTCCCTGAGGGCTTGGAAGGGGATGTGGTGTGAGGAACCACCACACCAGGACGTTTTTCTGGTGTCTCTTGTTATCGCTGCCCCAAAGCCTCGGTGTCTCCAGTGCCAGTGTTTTTCCTGTGCAATCTCCTTGGGGCCAGGCAGGATGTGCTGGAGTCTCTCTGCCAGGATGTGCTGGAATCTCTCTGCAAGGATCTGCTGGAATTTCTCTGCCAGGACGTGCTGGAATCCCTCACCCTGCTTTGCTGCAGTTCTGGGGGTTTGATCTGGGTTTGCTCAGTGCCTGTTTGTGCCCTGTGAGCTGCATGGGACCCGTGTCCTGCCCATGCCCAATGCCCCGGCAGCGTCTGCTGGGATGCGCTGGAACCACTGAGGTGTCACTGACTCCTTCCTCTGCCCCTCCTCTTCCTCCTCTTCCTCCTGTCAGTGCCTGCCAGCTGTATCTGTGTACACAGACTCAGTGGATCATTGATTTCTGGTTGAGCCCACCAAGCACAGCTGAAATTAAAGTTAGCAGAGGTATAACTTATGATCCAGGAAAGCCTTAGCATGACACAAAGCAGAGGAGATGGAGATGATGGCCTCAGAAAGAAATATCTTCTCATCCCATTCCATGAGAGCTGCTGTTATGCCTTCAGTTTAATAACCATTAGAATTTCCTGGAGTTTTTGTGTGGTTGTATGTGTCCCATGAAGTGCACGGTTGTATCCTGCAAGAACCTTGTGTTCTGTGTCACTTCGAGGCAGTAAATTCTGTTATTTAATCCTGTATTGCCCAAAAACCTTCTCCTTGGATGGTTGTATTTATACAATCTCCATGGTTGTATTTGTTGCTTTCCAGTTTCTGCAGCAATTTCTTGAGTTTTGTGTCAAGTGCAATTCCTTGGGTTTTGTGTAATGATAACCTGATTGACCTTGTTCTGTCCATGTGTTCCCCACCTCTTGTTTGCCTCCTGGCACCAGCACAGTCCAGATGTAGAACCTTGTCCCTTCTCCAACATTCCCTCCAATATTCCCAATATTAAGATGATGACAGCTGAGCTTTCATTTGCCTGCATCAGGGATTTAAGGAATGGCTCCTTGCCACTCCTCCAGGTTCCCTGTCCATTCCAGGAATATTTCTGCTTTGGGCAGAGCTGCCAGGCATGTCCTGAGGTGTTCCTGCTCTGCAGAGTGCTGGGGGTTGTCTCAATCTTAGGGTCACCCCAGAGGCCAAGTTTTCAATATTTCTGTGTGTTCCTGCATTTAATGGAAAAATGAGGACTTCCCAGGGCTGTGGCATGATGTGTTTGTGACTTCTGGTGATGCCCTGCAGACAAATAAGCAAAATAGAGTGTGAGTGAACACAAGATCACTGCTATTAGAGAATGTGCCAAGCATCTCTGGGCTGGCTTCTTGCTGTTCCAGCTTCAAATCTCTGTGTTTTCTATAGATGGGCAGTTTATGGGGGACCAGAGCCATTCTGTCACTGCTGCAGGAGTTTCTGCACTGACAGGGAAGCAGGGATTGACAGGAGCAATATCTGTGCTTTGGGTGCAGCTAAATGTCTCCTTTTTGTGGTTTTGAGAGGCAGCCATGGGCGAGAACTCTTCCTTCCCTTCCCTGCAGATGTGGTGAGGCTGCCTCAGCAGGAAGGGAAATCATGAAGATCACTTCAAAGGCAGTCCTGGCTTTGCCAGGGTCAGTGGGCAGCACCAAAACACATTGGAAAAGTGGAAAAGTGGAAAAGGGGTGTCCTGACAATGTTTGTGAGGCAGCTCTTGTTATGTGAACGCAGTTATTTGAGTTCTTTTTGAGTTGCATGTGACCATTGTGGTTAAGGCAGAAAATGGACCAAACCCCTTGCCAGGAAGGAATTTATGGAAGCATTGGCAGAGCTCACCAAATGGGTTAGAAAGGGCCCAAACTGGGGCCCAGAGCACTTGGCTTTCCCTTCATCTCAAACATAAATATTCAAGCAACTTGCAGCTGTTCCAGGTGGTCCACAATTCTGGTGGCATTGTAACCTAACTTTAACTGAGTCTAATCAATAAAAGTTACTACTTCCATGAAAATCTTTCTTCTTATTGAAGTGTACTTATCCTGGCACTAAATTCATCCAAATATTTCATCAAGTATAACCAGGGGCAGGCACCTTCATATTCCTCTTTACAAAGGTGCAGATTCCAGCTGCACTTCTCAGTGGACATAAAGGATTCATGGAGCAGGAGGCTGGAACCTCTAAAATGTGTTTGATAAGAGTGCAAATACAGGAGGACTTCCAATACTGTGCAAAGAACTCCTCAAGTGCACTTGTCAGAGCATATTCAGGCTCTGTGCAGCATAACTGGGGTTAAAGTATTAAATAACAGTCTAACCCAAAGCTTGAAGGGAAATTCTTGTGGTGATTCCTATCAGTGTTTAAATTATGAAAGATGTGATAGATCCTCTCAGAACCTTCAGAGCAAACTTTGCTTGGGAACAAGGTTGCCTGAATTTACCACTTTTTCTTTTCTTCTTCTTCTTCTTCTTCTTCTTCTTCTTCTTCTTCTTCTTCTTCTTCTTCTTCTTCTTCTTCTTCTTCTTCTTCTTCTTCTGCTTTTCCTTCTCCTTCTCCTTCTCCTTCTTTTGTTTCTTTTTTTCTTTTTTCATTTTTTCTTCTTTTATTTTCTCTGGCAGGGGGGCAGGGAAGGTAAAATAAGGAACTAAACTCTTTTCTCTTTCTGCTTCTCTCTTCTTTCTTTGTCTTGCAAGTGTTCAAGAGTGAGACAGTCTCTTGCTATGGATTTGTAGAGCATCTCCCACAATGAGTTCTTGAATAGTAAGTGATTCCTAATAAGAAACTCCCTGCCTAAAACTCCTTGGCTTCTTTTCTGGTTGCTAGTTTCCTGAAAACAGCATGCAGATCAGCCTGAGGGCTCGTGGATCTCCACATTTCAGTCTGGCACCCATCCTTGGTGCTGTACTGCTCTGCATGGAAATGTTTTAGTGCTCAGGATTACACACTGAAACACATCCTGCCAGGAGGGTGCTTTGGGGAAGGGAGGCAAGAAATTTGTGAGAGTGGGTTTGGATTTAGTGGGGAAGTGAGAGCAAGGTGTTTCCATTTGGCAGAGGCTCTTCCATTTGGCAGGGACAGAGCTGGAGTGAAATGGTGGGGAAAGCTAAGGGAGGGCAGAGGATCAAGTGACCCCCTTCCTGTACTCCAACATGGATAAGGGATAAATGTGGGCAATTAAAAGGCTGATAATGACTGTCAGAAGAATCTCTGAGCTGAGCTGCGTGAGGTAGAGGCAGCGCTGAGCTAATTGGGGCGACGTGGAGGATGCTGATGAGAATGTTTCACATGGATTAATATCCCCCTCCTTTGGAAGCTGGGGAAATGTGGTATCTCGAGCAAGTCAGGCAGGGTTTGGACCAACAGCCACAAACTCAATCAGACAGAGAGGCAATTACAGATGATGGTTCCTCAGAAGGACAGTCACACTGTGCGGGGTGACTGCGCCTGTGCTGTTTGTGTGACAAGCGAAAGAGGCCACAGCCACTCAATTCACTGATAGGGTGTATCAGGGTGGTCTGAGCTCGGGATTCTGAGACAGAAAACCAAGACACCTCAGTCAGAATTATGCAATGAGCACACGAGAAACTGGGGTGAGAAATCGCTGCTGGAGCGCTGCCAAGGAGCAGCCGCTGGGTTTGTTCTGTCTGCATCCCTTCAAATGCTGCTCCTTTGCAGCAGCCTTCAGCTCGCTC